TGGGGAATAGGGGAGGGAGGAGACGGGCTTTCGGATGATATATCGGGGCAGCCCCCGTGCTAAAGTGGTGTAGATCATTTTCCACCAGCGGCATTAAACGAGTGTTGGGCGTATTATATTATAATATATCTAGATTTTCTCAACATGGGATAACATCCTTCTGAAACGGGGAATAGGGGAGGGGGAGACGGGCTTTCGGATGATATATAGAGGCAGCCCCCATGCTAAAGTGTTGTAGATCATTTCCACCAGCGGCATTAAACGAGTGTTGGGCGTATCATATTATATCATCTCTTTCATTATCACCTAGTCTTTAATCTTGACTTTGTTCTCTTTTTCTTCCAAACAAATATGCAGTTCATGTCAGGTCACGCAATATTTTACTTTGCTTTGAAATGGATTCGGACTTAGGCCGCATGAAGTTCATAACGTGTACCTTGTTTTGAATAAACGCGAAGGGTGATAAAGAGATCATTTAAAGGGCAAGTCCGGTCCGTTTGAAAGTTGACTTAAATAAATAAAGAACAAATAAACAAACAGAACAACAAAATTTCATCAAAGTCGGGTGAAAAATTAAAAAATTACGGAATAAGTTTCGCATAATTTCATGAAACATTGATATGTATTACATAAGCTGTTTGCGAATTAGCGAGTTGATGATGTCATCCTCTCAATTTTCTCTAACCGTTTGTACATAGAATCTGACAAAAATATCACTCCTGTGCTCTGGGAATGAAAACATGGCTTGAAACCTCATGGAATATGTGCAAAATTACCATTATTGCAACTTATCATGTATAAAGGAACAAATTGTGCATGTGTGTCAAAACAAAAGAAACTTGCAAATTCATGAAACTAAATATATGGGGGATAGTGAGAGGATGACATCACCAACTTTCTAATTTAAATACAGCCTATGTGATACATAACACTGTTTCATGAAATAATGAGAAATTTTAAAATTCCATAACCTTCTTCTTTCTTTAAATGTGAATGGCCTTTGTTCTGTATCTTCACTTGTAACCATAGTATTTCCTTGTTCAGATGTACTTACTTATGTAAACGAAAACTGAAACATATCCTTCGTATTACATCGTGATAATAATATATAATAGTCCGTTCTTGTATAGCGCATAACCCATTTTGATATAAAGTCTATATGCGCTTCCAAAGAGCTTTGGAAATAGCTTAATTTCTTTTAAATACAGATTAGTCTACATGTACATTGTAGGTATCCTCTTTTCTATTCTGTGCACTAGTCTGTATTCATTTATTATATAATTTGAGTAAAGAAATCCTCTGAAATTTAAAAACATTTAGGGTTTTGCACGCCTCGGGCTAAATTGGCACGTGTATTTCGGTATGACTGCAGAAAGGCTGGGTTGTTTTTAATAAGTTGTTTGAAATCTCGAAATGAAATATAAAAAGCTCAAAATAGTTCATGAAAGAGGATGGCAACAAATATCGGTACCTGCGCTGTACAGCAAATGCACCCGATACCAATACAGTTACAGTAAAGTATCAAAGCAGATTACCCAAAGTTGCTCAGTAATATCAGAGCAGAATATGTAATCTGAAACCCAGGTGACAAAGTTGCTCTGGTAATGAACTGGAACTATTGTCACCTAGGTTAGATTTATAGAACAGTAGTGAACTGTAGGATTGAGTAATTTGTGCGCCCTGATAGTACACTGGTCTGATGAGTTTTCTTTACTCCAGACTTTACCTATTTTTAATCGCATGGGCAATGAAAATATAAATGATATAAAATAAAACGCGTGCATGCTCCTCTGTGTAAGTTGTTCATGTTGTTTAATGTTCACTTATTGATTTAGATTTTGTTGGCACTGACATAACTTTTTTTAATTCACTTTTTTAAATATTTTTAGGGGGGTAGGGGCAATGCTTCATGCATGCATAAACAACGAATTAAGCAAGATCATAGCTTTAAAAGAACCTAGCGGTAAAGAGTACCAATTGATCACCAAAACAAAGGTTGTAGTGAAGTTAGGAGTTTCATTTGTTCATAGGCCGATTGTATAACATTTTAAAAGAGCTATACATTGATATTACCCCTATTTATAGACCCTCGATTAACATAAAATCGTCTTGTGAGTAGACTATTACCTCTTACTTAAATGTTATCCAGATTACGGTAGCCACAGTAACGCACTGTTCCTCTTTATCACCTGAGTATTATAGTGTCTCTCCTTCTTTCCTCGTCCCCTTCTATTCTCTCGATCCCTCATCCCCATTCTCCTTTGATTTTCCCCTGCCCCCCCCCCACCCCCCATGCACCCCTTCAGCCATTTCCCTCTCTTCGCCGTAAACCCAATCATCTTTCCCCCATCCTCTCTAAACTCGTTCTTCCGCCGGTTTGCTTGCTCATCCCTCCCCTCCTCCCCTTGCCTTACCGCTTCCCTTCTCTAGCTCTCTGTTTACCACTCTCTCCTTCTTTTTTCTCTCCCCTTTCATTCTCTCCTTCCTCATTCTCCTCCAACTTTCGTCTTCTACCTTTAATTCGCTCTTATCCGTTAATCCCAGTTTATCCAATCCTTTCCCCTAGTTCCTTCACTCCCTTTTCCCAAACCTTCAACTCATTCTCCAGTCGGCCTGCTTATTCCGCCACCCCCCCCCTCCTCAATCTTCCTTCCCTCCACCCCGCACGCGCTCTTTCTCCCTCTCTCTTTCCCTTCACTATCCTGCGCTAGCTCTTCTTATTTCCCCTCATTTCCTAAACGCTCCACGGAGTATACGCCCTTATTCCCTTACCCGGCCGGCCGCCCTCTTAAATCCAAAAGAATGCCCCCTTTCGCCTCCTCCCCACCTCCGCTCCCTTTTCTCCACGTCTTATTAATGTTGGTCCCTCTCTCGATCCCCCTTTCTCCCTGCTTCCCCTCTCAAGGCGCGGATCCAGGATTTCTTAGGGGTGGGGGCCCAATTTTTTTTCTTTTTGCTCCCGGAAATTTGAAAATCGCGCCAGCCGAAAATGCGCTCAGTGGGGGGTTGGGGGGGGGGGGGGGTGGCGGGTAGTAGTGAGCACATTTTTTTGGGGGGAAGCCCTCTAAAATTTGCATCCCCCCCCCCTCCCCCTTGAGCGCCAGGGGGGGGGGGAATCTCCCCAAAAAGGTAAAATTAACGTGTTTTTACACGTTTTATTTTTGAAGGGGGGGGGGGGACGGCCCCCCCCCCCGATCCGCCACTGCCCCTCTCTTACATCGCTCTCTCAGCTCCACCGTTCCTCTCTGTTTCCTCTACTTTTTGTTCCCCCTTTAACCTCCCGTTAGTGGGGTAGTGAGCACATTTTTTTTGGGGGGGAGGGCCCTCTAAATTTTGCCCCCCCCCTTGAGCGGCAGGGGGGGGGGGGCGTGGGGGGGGGGTGGGGTAGGGTAAAATTACTTGTTTTTACATTTTTATTTTCGAAGGGGGCCCCCCCCCCACCCAGATCCGCCACTGCCCCTCTCTTACCTCGCTCTCTCAGCTCCACCGTTCCTCTCGCTTTCCTCTACTTATTGTTCACCCTTTAACCTCCCCTTAGTGGGGTAGTGAGCACATTTTTTTTTTTTGGGGGGGGGGGGGCACTCTAAATTTTGCCCCCCCCCCCCTTGAGCGTCAGGGGGGGGGGGGGTAGGGTAAAATTAACGTGTTTTTACATTTTTATTTTCGAAGGGGCCCCCCCCCCCCACCCAGATCCGCCACTGCCCCTCTCTTACCTCGCTCTCTCAGCTCCACCGTTCCTCTCGCTTTCCTCTACTTATTGTTCCCCCTTTAACCTCACCTTAGTGGGGTAGTGAGCACATTTTTTTTTTGGGGGGGGGGCCTCTAAATTTTGCCCCCCCCCCCTTGAGCGGCAGGGGGGGGGGGCGTGGGGTAAAATTAACGTGTTTTTACATTTTCATTTTCGAAGGGGGCCCCCCCCCCCACCCAGATCCGCCACTGCCCCTCTCTTACCTCGCTCTCTCAGCTCCACCGTTCCTCTCGCTTTCCTCTACTTTTTGTTCCCCCTTTAACCTCCCCTTAGTGGGGTAGTGAGCACATTTTTTTTTTGGGGGGGGGGCCCTCTTAATTCCCCCCCCCCTTGGTGCTCAAGGGGGGGGGGGCGGGGCATCTCCCCCAAAAGGTTAAATCGACGTGTTTTTACACGTTTTATTTTTGAAGGGACGGCCCCCCCCCCCCCCCGGATCCGCCACTGCCCCTCTCTCACCTCGCTCTCTCAGCTCCACCATTCCTCTCTGTTTCCTCTACTTTCTGTTCTCCCTTTAACCCCCCCCCCCCCCATTAATTCCTCTTTTTCCCCCTGCTTTCAGAGTCTATATCACCTCCCATTTCTTGGTCTTCCTCCTCTTTCAGCCTAACATCATATATCGGGCATATATCATTATTATCGTCCCACTCATTTCTAGCCCTTCCTCCATTTCCTTCCCCATTTCATCCTCTTTTTCCTCACTCAATCCATCTCCTCCCTTCTTCCCTATTCTACTCTATATACCTCTCTCTTCTACCTCCTGCTCCCGCCCTCCTTTACCCCTCCAATTCTGTTTTCCACACTCAGTCTCCTTCTCACCTCGTCCCCTTCTATTCTCTCGATCCTCCTTCCCCACCCTCTCTAAACTCATTCTATCGCCTCATTCGCCGTCTTGCTCATCGTGTTGATATAGGTGATATATTACTATATTATCCTTGTCTCCTTATGTAGAAAACAAAACCTGTTACAATACAAAATATGGGGCACCTATCCCTCTTCACCAACCTCTCCCCGAATCAAAGAATATGTACAACTCATGGTTGGGAGGAACAAAAATTAAAATTTCCTCATAAAAGGAATCAATGTTACTGATCATGCTGAGCTTATAATGCAGTCGCTTGTCTTCACACATTCTTTATATATGAAACAGCCCCGGCAACTGAGTGGCCGGTGGCCGCCTATCACACTGCCCAAATCGCGTTCCAGAGAAGAACAAAGTCCACACAAAGAAATAAAATTCTCGACAAGAGTCAAGTGTTGAAGTGGATAGTAACTTTATTACAATTTATTACATATAATCATGAAAAGTCACATCTATGGGCTGGAAGCCCCCAACTCTGCTAAAACTTTAGCACCTCATGGCGGCAAAGGAAATGAGGTATGAAACAAATTCAGGAACTGCTTCCCATTTTATACCTTCTGACACGTGTGTTGCCCCTTAATAGGGCGTGTCACTACGAGGCATTGCGTCAAATTAATCCCTGGAACCATATACACCCATATTAAAAGGAAATTTATTAATTTTGCGAACTTAACCTCCAGAGTTGAGCTCACCGGACCCACCATTACTCCTCTACAATCCATTGATGTGTATTGCATGTAGTCCACAGTCAGGAGGGTCACAAACCCCTCTACATGTACATCCACTGTCACATCTTGATTCTTGAGATGAACTCGGTAGAAGTATCCACATTGTTTTGGAGTTGCATGCTCCTTCTGGTGACTGCTCCCCCCTTCAGCTACTAGTACAGAAAAGTCCAATGGCATCCTTGTACGCAATTCCGACACGCCGGCTGTTCATGAATAAAATATAAACTATTTTCAAATAGTATACAACTTTAGGAAGTCAAGCTGACATCATCAGTGTATTTCTTCTTCTTTTTCTTCTTGTTCTACTTCTTCTAGTAAGTAATCTTCAAAGAGTTATTCGTTTTATAAAAACATATTGTTCGTTCGACAGGAGTACATTCCTTATTTTCCATGCTTATCAGCCCAACGACAGATCCCAGATAATTATAATAATACATGGTCTTCATGGTCTGAAATGAAATTACTGTATTACCAAACATGCTTTTCATTACTAATATACTACGTTTGCGTAAAAGATCTAATTAAACATTCAGACCATTGTTTTTATGTTTAAAATCACCAATCCAAACGTTGAACTTGGGTTACTGTTGTTAAGAAAATATATTGTGAAAGTGGGATGGGTTGCATGTGGTAAGGATGTGTTGCATGTTAACAATTGCAACAGAAAGTTCTCGCTCTTCTATGGGGCGACTTACTTCAGACACTGTCATCTGGCCTCCGAGCTTTAGACAGCAAGGTCCTTGTCTACCATATCATTGTGAGCTTCTCATTCTACCCTTCATTTGCATGAAATACATTACATGTACAGGCACCTGTTTGTATAGAGACATAAAATAAATTCACTTTTACGGCATGTTCATGAAAGCAATGTGAAGTACTAATTATAAAGTGAACAGCAGGGTAGGGTTCTTGCAGAATTTCTAGAACTCGCAGTAAGGGTGTAATAAATATAAACTTTGAACAATACTGGTATGTAGAAAGGGATTTAGGGTAGCCCGAAATTGGGTCTGGCAATGTTTAATACATTTAGGGTTGACATTATGTTTAGCAATGGATCCAGGATTAAAGTTAAGAATTCATTTTGTGTTACAACATAACCAGTACATAAATGCCTATAGAGCACGTTGTAAAAATCGCTGAATTCTTTTAATTGGTAATACAGTGCTACATGTTTCACAAACTGCAGGCCAGTGTGTTTTTACTTTATAAAATCTATTTTAAATGATACTGTGTTACATACTTTTTTCTCTTCCACTCTACATCATGTTTCTGCTTTCACAATACAGAGGAAGATTTTAAAACTACCATTGATGAGTAAAAGATACATGCAGCTCCACCAGCACCTGGAAAATCAAGTTGTAGAACACCTTCTCCTGAGACAATTGCTTCACATAATTTTTCTACACTATTAAACTTCATCCCTAGGCCTAACCCTAAACCTAAACCACCTTAATCACAATTCCAACCCTCAGTCTAACCCTACACCTTTGACAAAATAAAGCCTAGAGTAGTCGTTGCAGGAGCAAATGTTGAGTTACTAAAAATGCCATGACAGACTCATATGCTATGAATTTATCTCTGTTTCTTTCCCTGATTTGTTAAAAAAACATTGTAATATGCATTATGAATTACCAGTCCATTGTGCTTCGCTCATATATTGCCAGGCACAAGAGGCCATCGCTTAGAGGTAAGGGGCAGAACATCAAGACTGGAAGTGGAACCTCAAGGCACCCCATGATCTCTCAACAGCAAGCCCTTCCTCTCCATCTCTGGAACCGAATTATAAAAATATTCAATAAATATTAACCAAATATGTAAGAATACACAAAAATTGCATTATTTTTTTTTCTTCAATTGTCTTCAATGTTTACTTTCTTTTTCAGCAAAATATGAAGGTCAATTATTTTCTTTTTGCTTGTCATTCTGTTTCGTGTATAGGGCCATTCCATGGTAACTCGCGTTACACCTAATGGGTACATTGACACGATAATGTGCCTATATCTTTAGAACTGCTAGGATCTGCAAGATACTTTTTTCAAACATGGACAGGGTAGATATAGAACAACTGAATGAAACAAAAAAGAAAATTGAAGAACAAACATTTTTAGATTCTTGGATTATTGAATTTTGGTAACTCGCGTTACAAAAAAAGGACATGGTCAATTCTATGAGACCCTCTTTTGGCAAAGTCTCCTCATACTAGACAATCTTGACAAAATCTTTCCTACGTTGATAGTAGGTTGAGACTTACTAGTATCATACCCCATTCACAGTGGCCTCAAACACCGCGACAGCAGCGGGACTGTCCCGCTGCTGTCGCGGTGTTGTCTTCAGTGTGAAGGCTCGGACCCGTTATAAACTATCGCGGGATAACACCGCCTAGCGAGAACGCCGACACAAACTATCGCTAGGGACGCCTAGCTACAGCAGCGGGACAGTCCCGCTGCTGTCGCGGTGTTTACTCAGTGTGAAGGCTCTCCGCTATAACACCGCGACAAACACGTGTGATTTGTTTACTTACCTATCACTGACTTCTTTTCTACAGCAATGGGGAACATAAAGTGAAATAGAAATAAAGTAACCAGTGGATTCAAATTGATTTTATTATTATGTAGGTATTATAATTATCCAAATAAAAATATTTCACACTTCAAAAAATTAAAATATTCTGACTGGAAGCAATAAAAATGCTAGTTTTTTAAAAAGTAATATGATCGAGGATACAAAAAGCAACTTGACATGTTTACCGCGCAATTTCAAGCAAGTATTTCCGGTCATATCGGGGTCACTCGCGGGTCATAAGCCATGCATACACGTGTTTGTTACGGAGGTAATAAAAATCACCCGCTGCAGCGTGAATGGGTACATGATATTTATCCCGCTGCTGCAGCGGGATAACTTTTCTACTGTGAATGCATTTGTAGCGGTGTTATGGCGGTGTCGCCGCTCCGCTACAACGCCGCTACAAATTTCAAAACCACTGTGAATGGGGTATAAGATCACAATATTAAAGATAAGAAACAATGGACTAGTAAAATGCAGGAAGCAAATATGTCGGTAACTCGCGTTACATTTTGTCCGGAGGCCATTTTCACCCCTATGTAATAGATTAAATATCCCAGGACCCCTTAGAAAAGGCTTAGAATATGGAAATATATTCATCTTTTTCAATTTAGCGAAATTTTCAGGAAAAAATATTACAAGAATCCTGTGTAATCTGCAATAAATTGGTTTTTTTTCATCTACAGTCCCACATGTACGTTTTTGATGATGGTTTGAGATCTTAGGAAATCAACGAAAAAGGAAAAATAAATTGTATTGAATTTGAAAGGCCCTAATGTTTTATGAACATCCATGGCATAAGGTTAGTGATAAATCAAAGAATTAACATAAGAGGTACATTTCTTTTTTTGATGTCATGTCCTTCTTCTCATGGAATGGCCCTATAGGACTCCCCCCCCCCTCCCCCCATCCCTTCTTCAAGGCCTTCAAATGTTAATTATAAAAAAAATATATATTGGAAGTTAAAATACACTATAAATAAACACTACAGCAACTTGTTAGTAGACATCTTGTTGCACACATACCATGTAGCCACCCCTGAATCGATACTTCTCATACCAGCCCTTTGCATACCCCTCCAACTTGGCCTTATTTAATGCCCTCACCCATTTAAAAATTTCCTTTTACTTGACTAACTAAACAGGTGAAGTTTTAAAAAGTCCAAGTTAAAAAAAAAATTAAAAAAAAATTACCTTTTCTTGTTGTGGTCCGTTTTCTCCAGGACATTCTTGTTTCAGGCACATACTCAAAGAAGCAAGCATATGGTAATACACTCTGTATATTTCCTGTAAAAGAGAGGGGGAAAATTTATTCTTAAAATAGCTAGGTTCACATTCAGACTCAGTGACTGAAAACAACAGTCACTGCTACAATGTTTGCAGTCTAAAGACTGAGAGTAGAGACAGAGTCTTGACGTAAACTAAGAGACATAGAGTCAAGACTGCGCCAAAAAAAGATCAATACTCTAGAGTAAATTTAGAAACCACTAGCATGACTAGGCACTAGACTACACTTCACTGCAGAGTGCAGTATACTTCTTCTCCTTCTTGAAGATAATCTGCCTCCTATCCTTCAATACCGGTACTGAAGATTCTTGCAGATGCCGTATATTCATGTATATATATATATATTCGGCCTGAGTGGGGTGTGCAGGTAGACCACTACATCAGGTTTTTCCCCTATTCTTATACGAATAGTGCCGTGGGTTCTTAACGTGCAAGGGTAGTGATTATCCTGTACACGGGGTCTCCTTTTAACATCCTATCCGAGACGGATTGTTTTCCATGTAACATAGCCTGCGTCTATGAAACAACAAGGGGAGGGGCACGTTAACACACAACGCTTGCTTTAGTCATCCGCCTGGGTGCGATTCGAACCCAAGATCTTTGGGCCGACAGGCAGACGCTTTACCGACTGAGCCAATTTGCCTCCTAGTCCTCCTACTGTCTACCGACTAGACTCTAGATTATTTACATTTCTATTTTAATTCTAACTTAACTAAAGTCTAGTGAAATCTTTACTCCAGGGAGCTCCGTCACCGAAGCCCTTCGGAGGCCGTAGGCGGAGTTCTCTGAAGCATGTACATGTATAGCATGGAGTAAGTGAAATCTAAACACTGTTTGGGGGTTTGCAGTTTATTGCAGGAGTTGTTGTTTTGGCTGCTTACAGCTTAGCCTGCCCTTGAAATAAAAATGGAATTTTCAATTCTAAATTTATTAAATCCGACAGCCAAGTCCGGATAACAGCAACGGATGACAGTAGATCTACTACTACAGTATACCACTCCAGCAAAGTATAGACTGATATAGACCGAAAGCTTCAGTCTCTGATATCGACGGTTGTTCTGCTGAAATTGCATCTGGCTCATCTGACCGCCTCTATACATAGACTGAAGTACGTCCTATGGTGACTGAGTGGAACAAATGGTTTGGTTCGGCAGGACCGCGATGAATGAGATATGCAACAAGATTTTTACTCTTTACATCCTCATATATTCACTTTGGCTGTAAAATTACATTTGACTATATTAACAAATAAAAAATAACAAAGAAATATCTACTTTGACTTACGATAGCTTGCTCATTTAGATCCTACATTAACAAGTCAACGCAAAGCGTAGCATCCCCTCGCAGGGTACAAATGGCCTATATACATGTACATCAGAACAAGTTAACTCCATTGGACTATACTATTATATTACTAGGCAAGGAAGTTAACCACATTTTCACATATATGACCTTTCACCTTTCACCTACATACTCGGAAATTAAACTTAGCCTGTATTTTGATATCATGTACCTTCATATCAAATTTCATTAAAATCCGTCAAACATTACCGAAGTTATTGATCGGAATCCAAAATTGTTACGGACGCACGCACGGACGCACGGAAGGGCGGACGGCAGTGTTTCTATATCCCCTCCGACTTCGTTGCTAGGGGATAATGATTAATCCGAGAAAGTCTTGTAGTCAACATGATTCGTTGTCAGCCACCTGGTTTTTAGATGATGAATATTCATTTTTTCTAGACTAGTACTAGCCTAGATCTAGTAGTAGTAGACCTCTAGGTGTCATCAATTGTCACTAGATCTAAGTAAAGTACACATTTTGAGTGAAATCAGCTGAGTTTTGTACAGTGCTGTGTGAAATGTTGAGAATCAATAGCACAGCTTTTAATACACAGCCAGGACGCAGGAGGCGAGTTTGCTCAGTTAGTAAAGCGTCTGCCTGTCGAAGCAAACATGGAGATATAGATCTAGGTCACGTCTAGAATAGCGCTTAATAGCGCCTTTACTTTAGGCCTAAGCGCTTTACAACAAGTATATAGACCCTAAATATTATGAGATCTACTATCCTTCTTCTTCAAGATAATCTGCCTCCGGCCTCCTTCAATACTGAAGATTCTTCAAGAAGCCTGCCCTAGAATCTATACCATTGCCATAGGCCTATAGGCCTACTTTAGTACTAGGCCTGATTGGGGTGTGCATGTGGACCATTACACTAGGGTCTAGATTTCACTACTTACTAGACCTCTAGCTATAATTTATAGCTACGAATAGTGCAATGAAATGGATCTTTGCAAGGGTGGTGACTCTCCTGTACACGGGTCCTCCATTTAACGTCCTATCCTGTTTTCCACTTGACATAACCTGCGCCTATGAACAAGGGAAGGGGAACGTTAACACACTTCAGTCATCCGCCTGGGTTCGGGTCGAACCCGGGATCTCCCTTCTTAGATCTAGACTAGACCTATATAAAAATTAAATATTATTTATTATTATTATGCAGCTAGACTATGTGTTCAGTAGACAGTAGGCCGTAGGGTCTGTTGCGAAAATGCCCGGGAGTTCTAGGGCGGGCACTACATGCAGCTTCCGCTCTCAGGTCGCGCCTGAAATTGGGCAATTTAATTAGATCTAATTAAAGTTAGAATAGATCCGTCTAACTTACTTAGGCCTACTCATGCACTCGCCCCGGCACACGAGCTCTAACTCTCAGGATCAATCTTTGTTTAACCTCCGGAAAGTATTCAAATATCAAAAAATACATAAATATCACCTTATGAATACGAAATTACGGAATAAATATGACATGTACTTACAGGATTTCTACAGAAAACCGTGTCCAGCACCGAAGTTGCCTAGCTGTTACTGTATGTGTACAGATAAGGTCGTTGTTTACGTTTTAGTTGGATATAGGCGCGCGCTAGAGCGAGCGCGACAGTGCAATTAGACTCGTTCGCGAACTATCAATACATATTATTGACTATATAAACTTGTTATTTGTTTTATGAAACGGATTTTTACTTCTATCGCAGATTGAATTCTTAATTAGATGTGTTATAAATAACAAATTTGTTATATTTATTTGATTCTGAGTTCAATGCTGCGGATATATTCGAGTCTCGTAAGACTTCTGGTGCATTTGAGTCTTGAACAAGACTATTCAGTCGCTACCCCTTGGTAGGCTGTTCTTAAAGAAAAGATCCGCAATTGTCAATGACTGCTAATTTGTGTCGATCACGTTGTCATTTAAGTTGTAGGCAGTTTTGTTTGTTAAAGTTCTGTTTCAAAGGGAAACAATTATCTTCATAAGCCAATTAAGTCGAATTCAGAAGAATGTTAGATGGTGCAGAGGTACAGCTCAATTAGACTATACTGTGAAACTAAGGTCAGTATATAGCTAGAGAAACACTGATAATGAATATATGATGATGACGATAATAATAATAATAGTAATAATAATGATAATAATAACAACAATAAAAACTTACAATAATGATAATAAACCATATGCTTGAGGCTTGGAGCTTTTATGTCACTGAGTCAATTCAGTTCGCACCATTTGACAGTTTTGGTTAAATTATGCTCTCGCCAGATCAGACATTGAATATATATTTTTCAAATTAAAACTTTGTATGTATTTAAAAACAAAATTGAATAGCGGAACTACAATTCATCGCCCCAGATTTAATACCGCTTGAACACTCATGCTGAGGATCAATTTACAAGAAACATAATAGCATATATACCTCAAAGTTAATTGTGCTGAAAATAAAGTTTATTGAGGGGGTGCATTAAAAGAAAACATATGGAGATAATGAATAATAACATATGCAAGGTAAACCAAAAAAGCCCAAATCTATACCATATAGATGAATACCAAGGTTTGATTGTTCTAAAACGACTGCAGGATTAAATAAATTCCTATTATGCGAATGATTTATTTAACATGAAATGGGTATACATAAACATTGTTAATATCGTGATATCCAATAATCATACAACTTAAATAGTTTCATATTATTATTATACACACTAAGCAGTGGCAAACCCTACACACACAACAGCTCTTACATCTATTTGTCACATATTGCAGCTATAATCTTCTATAGATTTCTTGTGTTAGAATATTCACCACATAATGTGTATAATTTTGTTAGTTTTACACTAATTATTATGGAAAGACATAAGAACGTATTAGGTTCAACTTTGCATATGAACTGCATAATAAATAAATGGCAGGAAAAAAAAATCTGAATTCGTCTAATTGCTACGCAAATTCTACCTTTAATTAAACGTAATTAAACGGCGTGATACACCCTTTCCTGCATGTAAAATACACGACGTGTAAATCGATTTCCACACAATCTGTCACGAATGGGATCCATCCTGAATGGAAAAATGTGTATGTACGAAGGTTTACAGTTCGAGATGGTGTTATTGTCTTGTTTAGGTACTTTGTTCAACTTTTTGTCTTGCGCTTTAAATTGATGATTCAAACTTTGTAGAGTGATAGTTCATGCCATTACATATTTTTAGAATCAATTTTTGAAACACGGTTACATTAAAAACATATTTTAAAAATTAATTAACCTAATCTATTTTGAAGAGCGCCCTCGCTTTTATCCTCGTATCGACGTACCTAATAATATTGCACTTTACTTTTATGTCAGCTTTTTTTCTGGTCAATATAGAGGTTTCTTTCAGCTAGATTCCTTTCGTGTGCATCCAACCTTCTTTCAAATTGGTCTTACAACTGATTGGATTCAAATGTTTGTCCCTAAACGGAAAATGTGCTTAAATAGCGCATTGTTCTTAATATGTGTGCCATGTTTTGTCAATGGAGGCTTCTAATTGTAGCCACTGCCCCCTTTTAAATATAAGACGGATTATCTACAAACTATATTAAAACCGTGTAACAATTTAGGAAATTTATCAATGAGAATTACAAAAAATGATTATAGATTATTGAAAATAAAATTTAGCCATGCCCATACATTCAGTAGAATTGCCTTAGTAAGATATATTGAATGTCTTAAATCATAGATGTAATTTTAATTTTAACGGCCGGGGCATTGCAGGAAAATGTGAAAAATAGTATTTGACAAAATATTGTGCATCAGTTTATAAAATGTACATTGTATGAGTGATGAGGGGCAGCATTGTAATGAAAAGCTTGACAATTTTGGCCCTAGAATATAGTTTTTTGATTTTGTTGTTACATAAGAGGGTTTTCATGACATGCAGTGAAATCACAGGGTTATATCAATGCCCTTCTAGTTCCCAATTTGCGACATAGAGTAGAGAACACCGATGTGTTTTGAACAGCTATCATGTTTCTGTGGAGATCCAGAATATAATCTAGCTCTGAGCAGATGTTTTACTTTTCTCGGAATCTCACAGCCCTTAGTCCAAATATTTTTACTTTACTTTAGCGGCGTCCTACCGGTTTCTCGTAATATGATGGACCAGGACTCCCCTCTCCAAATCTCAACAACCCATTTCACATCAAGTCTCTCTTAATCACACCAAGGCACAGCTGGCAGCCATTATACTTAAAGTATGTGGCGTCTACACTCAGGGGCGGATCCAGCCGGCGAAAAGAGGGGGGGGGGGCAAATCTTGAGAAAACAATTTAGCGCCGACTAAGCCGGCCGGTGAAAAATGAGAAAACGCGGGGGGGGGGGGGCTGGGTGTAGAAGCACATTTTTTTTTTTGGGTACAGTTTTAGAGGAAAAATTTAGCGCCGACTCAGCCGGCTGTGAATAAGCGGGGGGGGGGGGGGGGGGGGGGGGGTAAGAGCACATATATATTTTTTTAATATATTGGGCCCACTTCGTGAGAAAATATTTAGCAGCGATTCATCCAGTCGGTAAATACGCAGGGGGGGGGGGGTGTAATATTTTGTTTTGGTGTGGGCGAAATTTAAAAAAAAAAATTTGGGCGCCGCTTTTGTTTTTGTTTAAAAAAAGGTTAAATTTACGTTATTATTCTATTTTTTTAAACATTTTTTTTAGACTAGAGGGTGGGGGGGGGGGGAGCAGGGCCGGAAAAATCGCCACGTGGATCCGCGTCTGTCTACACTGACTTAATGGCACAAACGAACAATTCAAAGACATGAAATTGCAAAAGAATAAATCTCATCCAGTTTGAAGTACATGTAGTACAATACTGATAAAATCGTTTATTAAAGATATAATTCTTCTGTCAATATTGTTAGAAGAAACACATTCTTGGTAATAATATAACGTCGGGTATTTAGGGTAGCTGAACAACAACAAATGTAAAAACACATAGATGTTTATACAGGCAAATAAAGTACAAATTGCATTCAGAGAAAGGATCCATCACCAAAGAAAAAAACAAATTATAATAGAACCTACAAATGTACTCGTTATTACACATCTCATGATTGCAATTAATATAAAGATGTCAATACAAGTTGATACTATGAAAGAGAGAAAAGACTAATGCACATGCCTCTCAAAAAAGACATACAAAAGACATAACCTCGCACTCATCAGAGCGAAACTGGAGAACATAGAGCCAAAATAACTACACTACTTTAAGATCCTTTCCTATCCAATCCAACAAGTCTGAAAATTTGAGACAAAAGGCATCATTATGTAATTGCTGAACTAACCCAATTACACATTCCTCTATCGATTGATTTGCTTGAGAGGAATACCTATAGGGGGGGGGGAGGGGTATCTGAAATGATATGTGACATCCCATCAAGGAGTGAAAAGAAAAGTAAAGGAATGCAACATGATCGACCCCTCCCACATATGCTCCAACTTGAGATTCCAGTTATCTGTCTAAACAATTAATTCAATTAATAAGAGCAGCAGCCCCCCCCCCCATGACATCAGTGCCCTCTCAGTAACTCAACCCATGCTAAACTATTAACACTACCGATTAATTATCAAAAAACCAAGATCATGACAAGATATCAGTTGACAAGTCTTAAACTGCCTATAACAGGAATATCAATTATTTAAGTTAAACTTACACTGTACATGCACTATGTATTTTCTGAGAAGACTGTAGGTATTTGTTTAACCTTTTCCCTCATAAAAGATAGAGAGATTATATAAAACTTGCACACCAGAGAATTCGAAAATTTACCAGCAATTACCCTTAGCTTAATTACCTAATGTGATGGGTGTATTTTTGCTACCCAAGAATACATGCCAAAATAAAATCAATATGATTTTAAAGAATTGTATACATTTGAATGTGGGCAATTCAACTAAAATTGACCATGAGCCGAACTCATGAAAATTGGCAATGACTTCAAAAATATATATTTCCTGTAATGACAAATTTAGTACCAAACACAGGAAAAAAGGTATACAAATAGGAAAAAAATCACCCCGTTCTTTTCTTTGAGTAGAATAATAATATTGAAAATTGTTTACGCATGGCTTAATTGGGTTAACATCTAGCAAGAACTTTAGTACCCCAAAAATGCTCCAAAAAGAAATTGTATAGCAATTGTAAATAGTATAACCTTATATTTAAACAATTATGTTCAGAGTATAAGCTTTTGTTGATACCTAAATAAGACTTATTACTTATTGAGCTCTAAAACTCATACAGTTTTGAATTAAACCGACAATGGTTAATGAAAGAAATGAAATCCCATCGCAAACACAAATAAAAGCAGTCACAAAAAGTCAACACCACCCTCTCCTCAGAAAATACATGCCTATAATTGTGATTTCAAAATTCTGTAATAACCGATACATTGGTTAATTGGTGTGAAAAACCTAAATACAAGCTAAACATAATGAATAAAAAGATTGATTAAAAAGATACTTCATTCTGAGATGACTCTTTTGTAATTAATCAAAATTGTAATAATAATCATAATGCATGTAAGTACTTTAATTGCTGATTTAGAGAGAAGGAGAAAAAGTACATGAGAGGGGAGGATAAAATAATGAAGAATGGAAAAGAGAAGAATGAAAAACAATAATATGGTAAGCAAAAATAAATAAATACAAACATGACAAAGATAATTAAAATCACAGTTGGTTGT